TGGATGGTCTGAAGCTGGTATACATTCATCCTTCTGCTCTTGCCTCTTCCATGCAGTGAGCCCAAGGAGGGCAAGATCTGCCCCTGAGGGGCGTGGCCTGCAGCTGTCCAGCTATAGGTGGCTAAGTGCAATTCAGAGAGGGGTCAGTCTCCATGCACCAGTTGGGTTAGCCAGCGCTATAACTATTATTAGGATGTCTGTCTGACTCCTCTGTATATCACTCAATTGCTTCAAAACTTGAAGGGGAGAGAGGTATGATTAATTAGTACTTCAAAAACTTAGCAATAGCTACGTGAAGGAGACAGAGAAAGAACCAATGGCAAGCAGGAGAGAGTACAGTAGGGGCAAAACCAGGGCATGCTCTAAAGGGGAAGGTACAAACGCTACTAACACGAATGGTAGATGCACAACAAAGAGGTGTGCACCACCCCCGTGGACCCACTGTAAAATGTTACAACTAGGATGCTGAAAAAGCACTGACAGAATTCTGGAAAGCATTTCGCTGGTTTTGCATTTACATTCCGGTGAGGTCCTTTTTGCCTGAGAGTTGATATTTGGACAGGTCCCCCGAGATAGCAGTGGAGTATAATATAAACTGGCACTGAAACATTTCAGTCTTGAGTTCGTCTGGTTTCTTGGACAACTCGAAGGAGCGTATACTGAACACACATTGACACACACACATTTTCACTGCTGTTGGTGCCTCTGATAATGGGACACAAGAAACGAAGGGTCTCTCGGGGCGGGGGAGACTTTTTGAATTAGTACTTAATCCAGAAATTGTTCTCTTTCCTCAAAGGTGACAGTGACAAGAGTTACACAGAAGCTTTTTACAGGCTGGAGAGGAGGCAGTTGTACGTGGTACGCGGCCACAGGCAGCTTTGTGGTTAGAGCAGACACACGAGGAAGAAGGTAGTGGAATGGACGCACACTTTGATTAAAGATTGGCCTGGGTTTTTTTTTTTTACTCCTGGATTTATAAATCACTCCCTTTGAAACCTCTGAAATCACCTTCTTCCACCTCTGAGTCTTCTGTAAAATGGGGCTGTGACCTTTGATTCCCACAGCTGGTGGAAGGGTTAAATAAGATGCATTTAAAGCATATACTACTCTGCCTAGCACACTGTAAGTGCACAGTAGTGATGGCCATATGAAAACCAAATTTGCAGAATTGGTGGGAGAGATTTTTGTTTGAAGCCCTGGCATGGATAAGTGCAGTAGCCAGCAAGAACAGAAGACTTTCTTTGAGGCAGTAGAGATGTGGTTGAAGAAAGTACTAGGTTTTAAGAAAAAAATGCATTCTTAGTAACTAGGACTTTACTAAATGCATTTTTGTTAATTAGTAGTTAGTAAGTGCATTACTAAAAATGCATTCTTAGTAACTACAAAGTAACTAGTTACTTTGTAACTTAGTGACTTAGTAAGGGGCAGTATCAGAACTAAAAACCTTTTCAGAGAATTGTCTGAGAACTAATGGCATTGGTCTGAAAAACCATGGACCAGTGTGACAGGGCCAAGGGGACGGAAGATGATGGAGAATAAGATGGCAACAGAATGCACAGAGCTGAAGACTGATGCTGACCCTGGCTCTTGGGGTCCACCACATTGTGGATGAGATATGAGAAATTCACACAGACCACCGAGTCCTATGGAGAAAAAGGGATGGCATGGCTTTTCTCTCAAGGGGAGCAAAAGCCACAGCCCTTGATGTGATTGGCCTTTATTGGGTCTCTCGGCCCATTACATGGTGGTCCTCATTTACTATGCACAGGTTTGTTTTAGGTGGTTACCTTTTACAGACAACAAAGGAGCCAGTGCTGCTAATCACATCACAGAAGAGGGACATTAGCAAATGAAAAGGGCAAAAGTGGTTGAACCAGTTACACTCATCCTTGGAAGTTTAGAATAGATTTTAGGAAGTTACTTTGCAGTAAATGTTTTCTGCCTCAATTCAGGGTGAGGGAGTTTTAGCAAAAGCAAGTCTCAAAGTGGCCTAGGTACAATGCAGGCCTGATTCCCCATGGGAGAACCTATCCCTGTGTGTGGGTCCTGTGATTCTCCGAGTGGGAGCTGGGCCCATGCCATGCAGGACGGTCTCCTACAGAAGATCACTTGGATGCCAAGCTCTCAGGCTGATTCTGAGCTGTGCAGAGAAACAAGTTTGGTTCCCACGAGCTACCCTTCAGTCTTCCTTCCCATTGACATGGAAAGAGTGGTTCTTCTGCACCCCTCAGCTCGAACAGCTCTTAGAATGTTCTAGAGGAACAGGTAAGTAAGCTGACACACAGGAGCCAGGGCACACTCTCCCAGTGGAGAGTGTCTCAACCGGTCTCCCAACAGCTGGGAAAGGACATGTTCTGGCTCAGCTTTCCCACCTATGCCCTGGATTCCTGGTGCCTCTCCCAGGTCTCCTCTGTACGACCTGTTGTCATAGCAGGAGGAGGGAGAGATTCCCGCCATCTTTCTACAAATCAGCCCACCTTTCTGGCTGCCTCGTTATCATAGAGATGTCTCCTTACAAATGGCAAGTCACATGCCAGAAGTAACGATGTCCTTGGGACTGTCTCTGACTCCCTCTCCCAACAGGAGGGAAGAGTACCTGTCCTTCCAAGGCACAGAGGTAAGAAAGGCTTCTCTCCTCCTGATTCTCTGTCACAGCTGTTGTGGGGCCAGACGTTAAATACCGCAGCTCAGGTGAGCAAAGCCAGAAGGGAACCATCTTTACTTTAATAGCTGATCTCCTTCTACTCTGGAGCCCCCATAGGAGTAGAGGGGAAGACATGAACAAAAGCAGATGTGCCTGTGGAAGAGATCTCAATCTCCCCCAGTTCAAAAGAGGCCCCCGTGGGTCAATATTTTGATGTTCTGTTTCCTGTCACGTCTGTTTTTTCTCTTTTCAGGAAGTTATTCTCTACTCTTCCAAGGTGGCATCCAAGGCAGGAGAGCCTCAGGCTCCTCATGGGAGGAGGGGAGGAGCCTTATGTGGTCCTCTAGGCCTCACCTTCTGGCCTCACAGCCTCACAGCCTCAGGGTGAAGCCTGGTGTATTTGGTGGAGGTTCTCTTAGCCAGAGGAATGCAAACTCAGCTCCCTCTCCTGGGAGGGAGAGGCCCACCTGGGATTTCGCTGGTTCTCTGGGACTTGGTCACATCCTCCATCACGTCCCCAGATCTGAAGAGCGCTCCCTGTGGCCTCTGCCACGGGTTTCCCATCTCATCTCAGTGAACATTTGCAGGTAAGTTCTATAGTTGTTAATTCTCAGCTACCTTCATCATCCCTTTCAGTGGCCCTTGAGAACTTTCCAGACCTCCTCTGTGTTCTGCTGACACCAAGAGAGACTTGATGTGGGGGTGAGGGCACCCTAGGTCCTATCTGTATGGGCACCCACTTCGCCCCTGATGGCACCTGTTCCTTGATGGACACGGCACCCTTTGGAAATGCAGATCTGTCCCACAGGCTTGTGGCTCTCCCAGTCTATACCTGGGGTGGCAGAGCACTGGCCATGGCCTTTCTGGATTTCTCCTGCTCTGCCTTGATGTCCTAGGACGTGCTCAGACCCACCCCACCCTCGAGGGTTTTATCCGAATGGGGTGGTGAGTCCGGACTCTGTCTCACATGCCTTCTCTCTCTCTTCCTCCCTCTTCTCAGCCCCTCCCTCCCTTGGAACATCTTTCTGCTCCCCACTTCTGTCTGATGAACTGTCTCCATAGCATCCTTCTTCCCTGCTCTCTGGCCTTAGCTCCCCCACCCCCACCCCAGGTTCAAAAATGGCAAGGGACTGCAGGAAAAGAGATGAGATTTCTGACAAGGGGAAATACAGCAAAGATAGGGGACTGCCATTTAAGGCTGTATGTCCCAAAGCTTGGTGAAGGCCAGCAGAACAGGCGGTGGCTCTCTCTTCATTAACATGTTACCTTTTGTGGGTTTTGAAACTAGGAGGACCCTCAGAACTCTTCTCCAGTAATCTAGGAGGCAGCCCAGGGAAGAAAGTGATTGGCTCGAGATTACACCATTTGTTAGTGGAATTGGGTCCTGGGTTCATTCTATTTTGCTACATTACCTCCCTATCACCAGTTAACATCAAGGTTAACAACAATGTTAACACTTCCTCCCAGTAAACACAGGGAGGAAGCAATAATAACAGTGGTCAGAGGTCCACTTCTACAGATGAGGAAGAACCAGAACCAACAGGAGCAGAATGTGTGCTGTGTGTGTGCACATAGATACATACACATGCGTGTGTGTGCGTGTGTATATATAGAGAGAGACAGAGACTGATTCTAAATGATCAGCTCATGTGTATGTGGAGGCTTGGCGAGGCCAAACTCTGATGAGCCATGCTGGCACGCTGGAGACTCAGGAAGCCGTTGCTGTTCAAGTCTGAAGGCAGTCTGGTGGCAGAATTGCTTCTTTCCTGGGGGAGATCAGTCTTTGTTCCCTTCAGGCCTGCGACTGATTGGGTGAGGCCCACCCACAATATGAAGTGTGATCTACTTTAGTCAAAGTCCACTGATTTAAATATTAATTGCATCCAAGAAACATCCAGAATAATGTTTGACCAACTATCTAAACATTGTGGCCCAGCCAAGCTGCAACTGGATTTTGGTTTTAGATGGCTGACTTGGCCCATGGACACCACATTAAGAAAGGAGGGCAGGTAAATTATCTTTTTTGGAAAAAAAATTATTTATTTACTTAGTGTTAGAGAGGGGAAGGGAAGGAGAGAGAGAGGGAAAGAGACATCAATGTGTGGTTGCCTCTTATGCATCTCCCCACTGGGGACCTGGCCTGCAACCCATGCGTGTGCCCTGACTGGGAATCGAACTGGCAACCCTTTAGTTTGCAGGCTGGCACTCAGTCCACTGAGCCACACCGGCCAGGGCAGGTAAATAAATCTTGATGAAGGGGTTAGGAAAGAGATGTTTCCCTACCTGCCTTGCTTAGGTCATGTTTATAAGTAACAAAGGCCAGTTCAAGCTTACTTTGCTTAAAGGGGGCATTTATTATAAAGATACAGGAATGTTTTGTGCAGTCAAATAACAGGAACAAAATGGGGCTGTGGCAAAGGTCCAGGATCAAGGGCTAGAACACAAGCTGGCCTCATTCTGGGTCTCTTGCCTCTGATCTCCACTGTTCTGTTCTTCTTCTTCCCTGGATACTTGCTTCCTCTTCTTGATTCATTTGGTGACTGGAACACGTCCATTGCACAGGTCTGGTCATGTAGATAAAGTCATGCTCCCTTTTTCTTGGTTCCATTTCCAGTTGCTAGAGGATCTTCCATCCACTCGATGTGGGCGAGTTGCCCACCTCATGTCCAAGAAGTCATGGCAGAGGACTGAGGTAATAATTTATGAAATGCCCGCCACAGGCTCACTGCTGTGGATGAGAAGAGAGTTGAGGTTTCACCGGGAACTTGGCAGATATTGCCAAAAAATGATCTACTCCCTGGGTGAGGATTCCAAAAAGTTAAAGATCATATCTGTGAGGATGGGGATGGGGCTTCCCTGCTCTCCCTGGCACTTGACCCATCTTCCCTTGGCCATTTCTCAGTAGCTGACAGTAGCAAAGACAGCCTGTGGGAAATGCCAGCCTCCCTCCTGCCCTGAGCTGAGGGCGCACTGGAGCGCTAACAGCTGCCAGGAACTCCGTCCAGGTCTTGCCACTGCACTGCCTGACATGGAACCTCATTCGGCATTTGGTTCATGGCCCGAGAAACAAAAATAATATTTAACGAGCAAAATCTTCTTTGTTTAATTATGGTAAATGTCAAGGATGAATGCAAGTGCTTTGCTGAAGGTCAAAAGCTCAATGCTATCAAAAAGCATTTAAACCAGGGCTGATGGGCTATTAAAACCCAGACAAGTTAAAACAAGGCACTGTCCTCATTCAGTGATTTATTTCCCCCTCTTGGAAGCTGTACTGTTGGAGCTGGAATAGTCTTCCAGAAGCTTGTGTGCTTCTCTTCTCTTTCCCAATGTTCTCTTTAGGCTGATGAGGGACTTACTAATGAGATCAATGCCCCAAGGCTCCTGCGGAATTACCTCTAAAGCCGAGGAATCCTGTTTCCATTAGATCAGTGGCTTCCAAGGGGACAGCTGCCCAGACCTCTCTCCCAGAGCTGCTGATTTACTAATTGCTCTACGGTGAGACCTGGACACTGATATTTTTTAAAGGCTCCTAACTAAAGAGTTTCTAATATGTATAGAGGGAGTCTAGACCAATTGGGTTAAAAACTCAATTTTTTTTTCCACTAAAATGCCCTTGTATGCCCCGTGCTTTTCTCCACATTGCATTGTCCTTCCTCATAGTTTTCATTCAATCCAAATTTATATTCTTCCCTGCTGCTTCTGATTCTCAGCATCCAGAGCTGCCTCCTCAGAGATGTATTGTCGAGCTCCAGAAAGGGCAAAGCTGCAATGCCCCTTGCACTTGGCAATGGATGGATGGGCGATATCCCCAAAGCTTCCCTAGCTCAGAACCAAATGTCTTAATGAAGATCAGTTCTGACGGCTCAGGAAGAAGATGAGAATTCAGACTGTGGCAGGCCCCTTCAAGTAGCTTGGAAAGGATGGGACGGCACGAGTTTCCTGAGCAGCGAGCAAACCTTTCTCCTGTTATTTATGCACACTGCCCCACGGTTCCTTCTTTCTTTCTTGCCATACAATAGAAATAATGATCTCAGTGCTGGACCCTGTGCTGCGCCAAGACAATTAATCACCCACCCAGTCATTTATTTCCTCGTGCTCTCGTCCACCAGGACCATTATCCTGCAGGTAAACAGAGGTGCCAGTAAATCACAGGCAGCGCACGAGTCAGGGGGGAGAATAGTTGATTGTCTCCGTAACGCACAGTTCTACAGCCCCTCTCATCTCGGGGGATCTCCAAGCACCACGCACGCTGATGTATGCGCGCTGCCCGGCCCTGATATTTGTCATTTTCTACTCCGTCGCCTCAGGGGGGGTGGAATGTTTATTGCCCTTGTCATCTAGTTACCCTCAAAACTGCAGTCACGGGTTAGACCGGAGGGAAAGAAAGAAACTTCTCACTTCCTTGTCCTTTCGGGCAGCAGAAATTAGCTCCCCAGCAGGAAACCAGCAGTAGTCAGAGAGTGACCTACTGACCTCTTGGGGAGAATTTCTTTGGCTCATGAAATGCTGCCAACATTAGAGACTTCCATGTTTACTCTTCCAAAGTTGGCAACAGAAGAGCAGGCATGGGGTTGAGTGGAGGTAGGACAGGAACTGAAGTAAGGGCTACTCGGGCAGAAATGTTTTAGGATCTGCTAGAATCACAGTCTAGGGCAGAATCACTCTAAGGAAGGATCACTTACAAGCCTTTAGAACTATTCACAACAATTCTGCTCTTTAAACTTTAGAAATAGGTGGGCTCCTTTGAAAGAAAAAAAAATCTCCACTTTCCTCCCACTGTTTACTACAATTCTTTGAGTACAATGCCACTTTCAAACTTATCCTTACAGCTCTGATATGAAGCATGTCAGGAAAAAGTCCAGCCATTGTTACAATGTTACATTGTTACAAACCATTGTGACAATGGTTTACACACTGACATAACCTGGCAGCCAAGGAGAGGGGACTGGAAAGCACGTGTGTGAACAATGATGACTTCACTGTACTAGTTAGTGGGGAGGTAGACGCTGCTGAGTGAGCATGTGCACTGTGTGGCTGTCACATTCAAAATGACTGAGCAAGTAGAGCAACGAATCTGCATCAAATTTTGCATTAAGCTCAAACATTCCTCCAGGGAAGCTATTAGGATGACTCAGAAGGCCGCAGCTATGGGCAACTGGTGATTGGCAGCTTTATCAGATCTTCTCCCTGCCATCATGTATCACATCTCATTCAGAGTTTTTTGGCAAAACAGAAAATCTCCGAGGTGACTCAGCCCCCTGTCAGCCAAGATTTGGTGCCCTGTGACTTCTGGGTTTTCCCCAGACTAAAATCACCTTTGAAAGGGAAGAGATTTCAGACTATCAGGGAGATTCAGGAAAATACAATGGGGCAGTTGATGCTGATTGGGAGGACTGTGTGAGGTCCCAAGGTGCCTACCATGAAGGGGGCTAAGTTGTCATTGTCCTGTGTACAATGTTTCTTGTATCCTGTATCTTCTTCAGTAAATGTCTCTATTCTGCATAGCACCTGGTGAGATACTTTCTGGACAGACCTCATATACATCTAAAACCAAAACCAAGTCAAATTCAAACAAGTTAAGTTCAGCTGACTATAATTCAATTACATTCCATAGAAGTTAAACACAAATAAAACCACCAAGCCAATGTGATTCAATTTAACAACATTAAATTTAGAAGGAAAGGTGATGTTTTGCTGAAACCAACCTACCTATCAAACGAGAACATAGTATTGGCTTATGCCTCATTTGTTCTTTTAAGTCTGGTATGCTTACCCACTGGGTGCCGCATGGCGACTCAAGGTTTCACCGTTTCTCTCCTTTTGAGCTGCTGTGGAAACCTCCTTTGTTCAGTATGCCATTAATTTATTTTGCCTTAATTTGGGGTGAACCTCACATCTCTGTGCTAAGTCTGTCTCTGCGCCAGAGGAACAGACAAGGCTGCTTGGATCCCTGGGCACGATCTGATCACGTGTAGTCATTAGTACGATGCAGAAGACGGTAAAATTTAATCTTAAAACTATGATCAAAAGGAAAACCCCCAATTAAAAAAATCCTCATAAAAATGTTTAAGACTCTCCTGTGGGTCTGTGGGAGCCCTGGACCCCATATTAAAAGGCATATGTCCAAAGTCATTAGGTTTAGGCCAACCATAGGTTTAAAGCTGGAATCGATGAAAAAGTCTGAGGAAAAAGCCCCCAGAATAAAATAAAATGCCCTTGTATGCCCTGTGCTTTTCCCCACATTGCCTTACCCTTCCTCATAGTGTTCATTCAGTCCAAATTTATATTCTTCCCTGCTGCTTCTGATTCTCAGCATCCAGAGCCGCCACCTCAGAGCTGTGTTGTCCAGCTCCAGAAAGGACTGCCCAGAAAGTAGCACGACAGTGGAATTCATTCCTCATCAGGATCATGGATTCAAGTATGGACTCTTGTCCTGGGTCTGGCAGACTGCTCATGGTCCAAGCTCATCCGTCCTTTCCTTTTCCTTTTTAATAAGAGTGTCCCCTCTGCCTCCACTGCACAGGTGCTGGCAGGGAACTGGCTACTCGGCCGGAGGCCACACTTCCAGCCTCCCTTGAAGCTCACGTGGCCATGTGGTCAGATTCTTGTGAATGGAGTGGGAGCAGAAGTGTGCAAAGTCCACATCACTCCTCCGAAAGGAAATCGCTTGCTTCCTCCGCTCTTCTCTTCCTTTCCTCTGGCTGGTGCTCAGATGTGACGTTGATGAACCAGCGTCAACCATGCAGCCTCACCCTCGGAAGATGCGGAGGGAGGAAGTTGAAGCAGGCTGGGTCCAAGACAGCTTCATGGAGCAGAGCTGTCAGTCACCCGTGCTTACCATTATTCTGTTATATCGGAGACACACACCCATCTGTTGTTTAAGCCACTGCATTTCAGGGTCTTTTGTGGTAGCCCCTTAATCTATACTGGGAGTGTCAAACTCATTTTCACCAGGGGCTACCTCAGCCTCGAGGTTGCCTTCAAGGGGCTGAATGTAACTTCAACTCCTTAACAGTTCAGGAGTAGTTACATTTATACAGTTCTAAAATTATTTCAGCCCTTGGAAGGCTGATGTGGCCCCCGGTGAAAATGAGTTTGACACCCCTAATCTATACGGTAGTTGATATGGAAAGTGAAAGCTTAAGATCCGGTTCCATTCATTCAACATTATACATTATGTGCTTCCGATGGGCCGGGAACCCGAGAGGCAGGGCTTTATTTGAGGTTGCACATGTACTCGATGGTAAAGCCGGGGCACAGTACAGGTCTTCCGCCTTCCAGCCCAGTACTCTAGCCACTTCAGGCCTCCTCCTCATCTAGCTGCTGACTAGTGCACCAACTGTAGTGCTTCATTACTGGAAGGCCTAGTGTTCGCAGAACTGAGGGTGGCCTGGTAGGCTTTGCTCTCACATGGCTTGTTTGGCCCATTTATTGGGGGTTTTATTTTGTTTTTTTTTTAATGGAAAAATAAGGATAGCCCAAAACAAATGAAGGGAGTTAGTAATGCAGGAGAAATGTGTCTTCATTACTGCGGGACCAACCCTATCCCCTGTGTATAGAGGGATGTACAGGGAGGCTCACAGTATCTCAGGGATATGACTTGCCAGAAATAACACTGTGAGGAGAAGGCGGAAGTTGGAGGGACTAGATGAAGCCAGTGTTTGTATTGGAGAAGAAAACAAACTGGAGTCAGGGTAGATGCCCCGCCTTAGTGTTCCACAATAGGGTCTGATGCACAGGAGAAGTAGCAGAGGCAGGACTGAACACAGTAGGTCTGCTTTCCCCTCTGCCCGAAAGTCATTCTTCATCACATCATTCTGTGGTTATTTTAAGATACTTTCATGATTGGAAGTTTTCATCTTCACTTTTTGTGCACACTTTTGTTCCTTTTCCCTGGAACAACATATTTCCACAGCTGCCTTGTTTACCATGGATCCCCTAGTGACCAGAACAGTTAGGCTTTCTAAAGTATTGCTGAGTGAATAACAGAAGAAATGAATGAGTGAATAGGCAATGTGACAACGCAGAAGATGAGCTACATGAATCAAGAAATGTCACAGGTCTGCTTCTTTGGTGACTGCAAAAACAACGTGTTCTCAATAAAGGCAAAGAAAAACGGTGACTATTACCTCTTAGACAGGTGCTATCATTTCAGAATAACATCCCTGCTCCACTGCTTCCAGAATTTTCATTGTCATTTGCCTTTGCGGTGGCCAGGAGAATGCTCCTTCAGACTTCTCCTACAGGGGGCGTGCTTGACGGTGGGCTCCAGCTGCTGCACTTCGAAATCCATTGCTGTCAGTGTGCTGATGCCATTCGTCCTGCTCCTAGTCAATGACGGGCACGTCGGGGATACTAAAGAAGACCTGTTCCTGGGAGACCTAGGGCCCCTCTGACAGCCGCCTCGGGCTTGAAGCCTCCCTGAGAGCTGTGGCGAATCCTCCTTAGACTGCATGGTGGTCTGGGAGGCTCCCACCCGTGTTTCTTTGCTCCTCCACCCAGCACCTGACTCATATCTCACAGCCTGATGGAACTCCCAGCCTTTTCTGACTGCCAGTTTTCTCTCACTGCTGGTTCCCCGACCACACCCTCACGTGTCTAGTTTTGTACCGGAGTCCAAATCTTGAAGGTCTTGGATTAACACAACCTCTAAAGACTTCTGGGCCCTCTGTTGGTGGGAAGGCTGGCTAACCCCAAGCACGATCCAATTAGAACAGAGTTTCGACTCTCACAGAGCTAGCGTCCAATTTGCCTGCCATACCTAGACCCAGCCTAAATTGAGAAACCCTAAGGGAAGAGCAGAAGTGGGATGCAAATGCTACTTATTAGTCCACACTCGGTCCAGGTACTGACAGGGAGAGTAAATATCAGAAGGATACGAGGTTGAATAGAAAAAACAAAGACATAAAACATCTCTGCTGAGTTCAGAGCCTTCCTTACCATGGGGGAGAATGTCAGGTTTGACAAGCACTAGCATGTTTATTGAATTTTTAAAGGCGAAAGTAGAGAGATTAGGGAATTCAAGTGGATAGTAGCAGCTCTTGGAGTGGAAACACTTAAACATCCAGTTTTGTTGGCTTCCTGTCATCACAGACGTGTCAAAAACAAAGTTTCACAATGTGCCTTGGAGAAAGACAGGGGATGTGAACATGTTTCCGAGGACCTGCTGCATTCTCAGGAGCACTGGCCAGACATGGATTTTACTCCTCGTTTATGAAAGGCGAAGACGATTTTACCAATTTGTGACAACAAAAGAAAATGTATTATTTATTGCTGCCTAATAAATGACCCCAAAATGCAGACTTGAAAACATTTTTTAAAGATTTTTATTTATTTATTTATTTTTAGAGAGAGGGGAAGGAGAAAGAGTGGGAGAGAAACATCAATGTGTGGTTGCCTCTTGTGTGCCCTTACTGGGGACCTGGCCTGCAACCCAGGCACGTGCCCTGACTGGGAATCGAAACTGCAAGCCTTTGGTTTGCAGGCCCTCACTCAAACCACTGAGCTACACCAGCCAGTTTGAAAACAACATTTTTGATCTCTCGGTTTCTGTGGGTCAGGACTCTGGCACCGTTTTGATGGTCCTCTGGCTCGGGGTTTGTCATAGGCAGTGGTCGAGGGATCATCTGGGCTGCTGCCCCTTTGAAACTCCACTGGGAAAAGGCCCACCTTCCTGTGGTCACTGGCTAGAACCAGTTCCTGGTGAGCTGCTGCACTAAGGGGCTTTGTTTCCCAAGGGGCTACTGGGTGGAGGCTGTTCACCCCTTGCCAGGTGAGTCCCTCCATAGGGAAACTCATAGTGGGTGGCACTGGAATTCATCAGAATGAGCAAATAAGAAGGCCAGAGAAAGGATGCGAATAAGACAGAAGCCGGAGTCTTTTGAAACCTAATCTTGGAAGTGACATGCCATCACTCTTTGCCGTATTATATTCGACAGAAGCAAGTTGCTGGTTGCAGCCCACACTCCAGGGGAGGGGAGTGCACAAGGGTGGGCAGGCCGAGAGGAAAGGCCCACTGAGAGCCATCTCAGAAGCCGCCTACCACACAAAACACAACCGAAGCCTAAATCAAAGTGGATGTGACTTGAGGGCGCACCAGGATGACATGGCAGAACGAGAAGATGAAACCACTTCCAAGGGTATGAATGTTTATAGGGCTTTATTGGCTTTTGCTGAGGACGAATGACTGGTTAGCATTCAAACAGTGCTAGGCAGACTTCTCCACTGAAATACTAATAACGACGGAAGCTTATAAACATATAAATGCGTCCCAGAGCAGTTGGTGGCAAGCAGAAAAATGTCTTTAAGTTTTATGCTTTGTCACCAAGGTTCTCATGAATTTTGTACTTTGGCCCATAATCTATGTGCTTGTTTGAATATAAAAGTATGAAAACTACTTTTCACGGAGCAAAACTGATTTCCAGGGCGAGGCAGCAAGCGGATTTTGTTTGAGGAGCCTGGGACCTCACAGCAGCGGGTGGTCCCTTCCGACGGTCTGTCTGTCTCTGCTGAGCCATCGGTGCCTGCTTCCTGCGACATGGAGAAGTTCTCTACTGTCATCTGCTAAAAAGGAAAAAACCGAGATTTTGCAACAGCGACCTATTTCCTGTTTTCTAGGCATCCAGCTTCCCTGTTCACTGATCCTCGTGTGGTCCACACTGCCAGCCACGTGACGCACACCCTTGCCCTCCTCTGAGTGTAGGCATCTGCATCTTGCCTCTGGTTATGTAAATGTGTGGTTTCTCTCCGTCTGGACTCTCCTTCCCTGCCCAGTTTCTCTCTGTGACTCCTCTGACTCTTTCCTGTTCCCCTGAGGGAGTCAGGGGTGGTCTCAGAGAAACAGTGACACTTCATCTGAGTGAAGGAAGGGCTGGCCTTGCTCTGCGTTCCCAAAGCCACCCTGTGTACCCTCATTTCAGTGTTCCGACCAAGAAATCTACAGTGACCAATCTAACCGTCAGCATTTTCCTCCCCTCTGTGTGAGCTGCTTAAGGACCAAGACTCTGACTTTTGTCCCTAATACCCCAGCCTTGGGCACGAAGTACCCACTGTTGGGTGTATAGTAGGTGTTCAGAAATGACTGTCAACTAAATCAGTGGTTCTCACAGTTTTTGGTCTTAGAAGCTCTTTATACTCTTAAAATTTATTCAGAACTTGGAAGATCTTTTGCTTTTCTGCATTATATCTCTTGATATATACTATATTAGAAATTAAAACCATAATAAAGCATGCATATTAAAATCTTTATTAAGTCATTAAAAATAACAACAAACCTATTACATGTTAACTAAAATAATATTTTTTAATTAAAAAATAATTTCCAAACAAAAGACCAATGTAGTTGGAAGAATGAGATGGCTTTGCATTTTTGCAAATCTCTTTAAAGTCTGGCTTAATAGAAGTCAGCTAGATTCTCATCTCTGCTTCCATGTTTAGTCTGTTGTGATGTTTTCTTTTCATTGAAGTATAAAAAGAAAGTCTGGCCCCACACAGATCTGTAACTGCAAAATGGAAGAGCATATTAATAGCCTCTTTAGGTAATTGTGGATATTCTTCTTTGGTACGATTCCAAAATTTTCTAGCTTTAATTTCTTAAGGATTATTTGCAGTGTGGAATCTACAACCATATCAATGAACTT